CCGCAAGCCAGCCGCGCTCACAGCTCGGGCTGCTCCAGCTGCAGCCTCCGCAATCGGCTCCCTTCAGAAAAGCAGGGAGGCACAGCCTGGACCTGAAACGGGCTCTGTTACTTTCTGCAGTCCTGGGGTCCTCAGAAGGACACCCCCAGTCAGGCTGCAGCAATTCGCCCCCAGTCGCAGCCCTTTCCATCAGGCTGCGGACGCTGGGACACACCCAGATTGTCTTCATCAGCAGGGGCACTGCACACACACCGACACACAGACACACACAGACACACAGACATAGACAGACACACAGACACACACACAGACACAGACAGACACACACACAGACACAGACACAGACACACAGACACAGACACACACACAGAGACACACAGACACAGACAGACACACACAGACACACACACACAGAGACACACAGACACACACACAGACAGACACACACGCAGACAGACACACAGACACAACACAGACACACAGACACACAGACACACACACACACACATTTGGGAGCAGGGAAGAGCTCTGTCCTCCTGCTCAGACAGACCTAAAACAGACAACACAACAGCTTAAGGGAAGGTGAGGCACTGGCACAGTTTTCCCAGAGAAGCTGTGACTGCCCCATCCCTGTGAGTGTTCCAGACCAGGCTGGACAGGGCTTGGAGCCACCTGGTCTAGTGGAAGGTGTCCCTGCCCATGGCAGAGGGCTTGGAACGAGATACGCTTTTATTTCAGATGGTTTCCAACCCAAACCATTCTGTGATTCTGTGAGTCTTCTTATGAAGCTCACCTGGGAGATGGAAACCCACATTTTGCCTAATTTGGAAGAGAGGACGGAATTTCCCACAAGCGGAGTGAAGTCCTCTGCAGCCTCCAAGCCTCTGCGTATTTTTAAGTATCTCTATCTTCTTTCTTTTTGTGTCTTGTGATTCCAAGTATTTCCCTTGTCTTTGTGTGCATCCCATAGATGCTGGATTTCTGGTATTGCATTTAGCATTTAAATCTCATCTTCTAAATTCTGAGAAAAAGTGAATGTGTTCTGTTTTGTTGTAATTTACAGAAATTAGCTGTAGTGAAATTGTGCCTGTGTAATGTGAATTTCAGTATACTGAAGTTAGTTATTTTTTTTCCTGAAAATACTCAGTGGGTACTACCTGTCTTGTTGCAGCTTCAGTCAAAGTTCACCAAATCTAATGTTGCCTAACAAAAGCCTGTAATGCTATTTATTAAATGCTTTGCACTTAGTAGGAGACAATTTAACGGGGATCTTAAGCATAAAGCAGTGCTACGGGGATCTTAAACATAAACCAATTCAAAGAAGATACAGACATCAAACAATTTGAAGGGGATCACAACCATACAAATATTTAATGGGGATCATCACCATAAAACAATTTAATGGGGATTCTAAACATTAAACCACTTAAAGGGGATTATAAACATATACTCTCTGTAAATAACTATTTGGGAGTATTTGTTTCCATTCAGGTTCTGCCTTTTCCTTCAGATTTTCCTGGATCAGCCCCTGTGTACACCAGGTACGAAAAAGGATTACGTGGACATACTTTCACGATACAGAAATTATGTGGAACAACGTATTTCAGTATTAACCAAGTACAAATTAGTCCCTGCACAGAATACACGTTCCAAATGTTTTCATGATAATATAAAAGGAAATGGCCAAGTTCTCGTCTGTTCATCTCATAGTGAAGTTAAATATTTGAAGGGGAAAATAGATCCTTAAAAAAATACAAATTCTTTTTTAGAAGAAATTTACTATCACCAGGTGTTTGAACTAGTATCTTTGCTGAGGGTATAAGGCCCAATTTATGCTCTTCTGATTTTAAAATTAATTATGTATATGGGACTATGGCTCCCTTAAACAAAACCGTAATTTTTCTACAAAATGCTCAGACAACAGAGGGAAGTGGCCAGTGTCTTGAAAAGGGGAAGTTTTTCAGTAGTGTTACCAGTAATTTGTGTTTAATTGTGATGCAAAGTAGCGTGAAGTGTTTATATTATTGTTTGTGTTACTGTTACAAGTGACCTTCAAAGGAAAAAGCTTTGTTCTCTTGCTGCTGTTACGCTGAATAAATAAAAGTTATTTTTTCCCCCTCAGAGGGAACATGGAAATAAGCACATGCTTTTATTCACTACTCAGGAAATGATGAGTCATTGCAAAAGGTACTCACTCAGAAGTGTTTCTCAGGCTGCCTCTGTACAAGAAAATGGGAACAGTTACTTCGATTTAATCCAATACAGCTAAATTTGTCCAAAGTATGGTGTGAGAGAGGCTCTTTCCACCTGCTGGAAGCTTCCTGTGGTTCCACTTGTGGAGCAGAGATGCACTTGTGTCGTCTTTAAAGCCTCAATCCATGACATTTCCCAGCCACCCCGATGTTCTTTCCAGCAAAGCACGGTCAGCCCGACCCCAGCTGCAGATGTTAACTCCTGGCTTGACAACAAGCCGCTGCAGGGGTCCCTGGTGGCCCGGGAAGCTGCAGGGGCTGGGAGCAGCCCTGGCTGGTCCAGAGGGACCCCGGCCCCGAGGCACTGCAGGGACAGTCACACCGGGCTGAGCTGTCACCCTGCTGCCACCAGCGACAGCCACACACACACACACCCACGGCAGAACGGCTTTTAAACATACCTGCTTACTTGGGAAAGGTGAAAAACAATTCCAGGGGTTTTTCAGGCTTTTTTTACTTCTGGTCTTCATTTTCTCTGCAAAATGCTGTGAAACCGTACAATGAAAGTAACTTCAAAACAAAGAGTGGTGGCTTCACAAAAAGCAGTGATTATGTAAGAACTCCCATTATTTTCGTTTAAGATATTTAAGAACAGCAACTCACTACACAAGAATGTCGTCAATGAGCAGTTTTCAAGGTTATGTTTAAGGTGCAATGTTCAAAATACAGCCTTCAAAATATCTTTCCCTGCACATTTAATTTGGCTTTGCTTTTAAGGAGTAATTGCTTTGTTTTGATCATTGTCTTTTAGAATTACTCAGCACTTCCAAAAGAATACTGCCATATTTTGGTGCAGCTATACAAGAAAAACATTAAACTGAGTAGGCACTAAATTTATTTTTTTTCTTCATCAATCCCATGTAAGATCTTTATCTCTCTGCATGTGATACACAGCAGAACTATTTACTTTTCCAGCTAAAGCAAGGGATTTATAAATAAATAAAGATTCTTACACTTTCACTGTAAAGTATTACTGGCACTGCACTAACCTCAAGATCAGGTGTCAAAATGAAACACCTTAAGAAAGCTCGGGGGGGCCAGTTTCAGAGTCAAAGGGATAAAATTCCATTTGTCATCACTAAATATTCCAATAAAAAACCCAGCTGTTAATCCCCTTGGACAGACAACAGGTCTTTAACTCCTGTACACAAGTTCACCTTTTTTGCAAAAAAAACCACAACATATATATATATATATATATATATATATATATATATGTTCAAAATTCCTGTTGTCAGCAGCACCTGTTACCTGAGCCAGGCATTTCCTGGACTGATGATGCAGGCAGCTGCAGATCTCATGTCAATCCAGGGGTTTTGCCCCAAAATTTATGTCCAGCTGTTTGAAAATGACGCTGATATCTTATGCTGAACACCAGAGATGTCTTCTAGAAATGTACACGGGGCTATTCACTCCCAAGCTCCTGAAACCCAGACACAGAGGCAGGCTGAGGAACTGCAGTAAGTTCCTGTCTCTTTTCCCCGAAAGCATCAGCAATTTTGAACACTTCCATGCCTGTGTCACAGACGGAGTGAGTTACAGCCTGCTTTCTCTCAACAACGTCTCCATTGCAAAATACAAACCTGTACATCTATTTTAAAAACACATTAATGGGAGCACCTCTTAAAGACACACTAATTCTGCTTGGGCAGATTCCCGCTGAGATTATGAATCTGTGACTGTTTTTTCTCTACAACAAGGGGAGAAAACATGACCAGGCACTGGAACCAACAATGACAGAAGGGATCACTGGAAAATTCAAGGGAATCAGGTCAAGGCAATTAGGCCAAAAAGCTGTAAAAACCTGTAGTATTTCAAGGGAATCCAAGGAAATTAAGCCCAAGCATCAGGATATTGAAAATTACCATGGAACTACCCCAAAAATATGTAATTTCAAACTTCCGAAGACAATATTGTACAATACTTTTAATTTCACTGGAAGCAAACAGATATTCCTGAAAAAAAAAAAAGAGCAAACTGAAAAACAGGTGTCTGGGAGCATCAAAATACAACAACAAATTGAAAACACAATCGGAATTCAATTAAAATTCCAAGAAATTAAATATTTTGGCTAGAAAAAGATCTCAAGATTACGGATCAATAATTCACTCTTTAAACAATTGTCCAAACACTTCCTCTTATTGTAATGCCTCTTACTACCTTAGAACCCTTGCCCTTTTTAAAAGAAATAGTCTGAGAATTGAAAGACATTTTTAATCAAAAAACTTCAGAGGAACACTGAAATCTATGGAAAAGCCCCCCCCCCCCCCATTTCTTGGATATAATGTAGGTATAATCCATGTATTCCAACAGGCTCTCCTTAAACTTTTAAAAAGTAATGAATCCAAATATTTTTAATTCCCAGCACTCTTGATTTCTGTACTTTTTTCCTTGAAGAAAACGACGGGTCCATTTAATCACCAAGTCATTAAATGAGTTTTAAAGACCCCCCAGCATAATTTCAGCTTTAATTTGAAGGTATGAATTGAAAAAAAAACCCCACTTTGTGTTGAGTTTTATTTCAGTGAGAGCAGGTTAAGAAACGTGTCACACTTTGAATGAAAGCTGAAGATGGAGAAGGGGAGAACATCAGGTGGAGAACCGTGATTGGACAATGTGTCTTTGGGAGCATTTCCTTGGATTCCAGAGCACATTCAGACAACAGAAACCTTGGAGAACACCTGGTGCTTTGCTCCCACTGGGATGCTTCCTGTCATGGCAGGACACCATGACAACTCCCTGCTGCACCACATCATCTATTTACGAATATCCTTCCAATTCACAGGGAAATACAAGGCTTGGAAGTGCAGTAAATTGCAAATGTTTTTGTAGTATGAGACACAGATCCCTGAAAGAAGGTAAAAGAAAAAATACTAAAATACAAGACAGCTACAGCTGAACAGCAGAGACCTGCTGTTCCCACCAGAATAAATACCTGACTTCATCTGTCCTTTACTGTCTCACTGCCAGCCCCACAGCAACACGTTTTATTTTAGGAGAGCGTTTGAATAAACACAGAGAAACAAAATCAAATTAATTTATTTATGTGCAAGTCAGACTAGACTGACATAAACAACTTCACCGGGGACTGGCAAAGATCCATAGGCAAAACTTACATACAGAAATTCATACACAAAGGCTAATCCATACAGCATAATCAAATTCACCACAGAGCCATTTCCTGGTAATCCACATGATTTCTTCTTTTAATTTTATTTGATTATCCTTGTTTACTGACACCCACAGATATTGCTCAGATGTTCTTCTTCCTTAAAAATATTTCTGGCAGGTTGTTGATAGATTTTACTGAATAGTTTAATGAGTTTTAACGAATCCCAGTACTTCAGGTGGGAACTGGTCACTGGGAAAATTTCTAAATAGCCAAAAAATGTGTCCCTGTGGTCCCAAAGAGGCCTACCACTGAGAGATAAAATCCTGCAAATCAATGAATGCAACTGCCTGCAACAAACCTCAACTGAAAAATGGATCATTTCTCCAAACTCACTATAGAAACCACACAGCCAAGCCTGACCCTTTGGTATTTACTGGCACTCACTTCATCTGGACCTGCAAATTAAATCAAGTACTCTGTTTAGCTATCCCAAGTATCATCAATCCTAATTTTAGCCAAGCACACCTTAGCAGGTGACCAAAACGAAGAAAGCTCTACCCTTCAAAAACAGAAAACAATTATTAGATAAATCTCTCAAAGGAGCTATAGGAAACAAAAGGGAGACTCGAAATTTAATGTGAAATCACCATAATTCAAGATCTAGGATTAAGAAAGGTAACTAATTTTTCTATCACACCATTACCAATGCCACATAAGAACCAAAAATTACTGTAATTTACTTTAGTACTAACAGCCCATAAAATGTTGTGTACAGTATCTCAGTTAACAAGATTTCCACAGGAGTCATGTGAGACGAATTGGAATAGGAGGACAAGAAGTTGACAAAGCAGCACTTCTCAGGGCATCTCAGGGCATTAGCTTTTATTCAGGAGCTAAAATGTCTTCTTTGATTGTGAAAAAGATCTTTCGTTTTTCTTGTATCATTTGTGGTGTTTGGCAGAAGCCAATCCCACAGAGCTGGTGCCTCAGTCTGTGTGAATTATGGGGAATTGCAGCAGCAAAAGAGGCAATAAATGGTTTCAATTAACCAGGTCAGGCTCTTCCTGCAGGTGCTTATCAGGGCTTTAGCTTTAATCAGAGGAAATTTCCACTTTGGGAAGTTCTGAGCGTCGCAGAGCCAGCACTGCCAAGTGGGGCCCGTGGGCAGCTCGGGGCACTGGGGAACGTCCAGCAGCCCTGGGACCAGCAGGGGCTGGGACAGCCCTGCCACCACGGCCACCAAGCCCAGGTGTGGGGCCAGACTGAGCCCAGCTCTGGGGCCAGACTGAGCCCAGCTCTGGGATCACACTCAGCCCAGCTCTGGGGTCACACTCAGCCCAGCTCTGGGGTCACACTCAGCCCAGCTCTGGGGTCACACTCAGCCCAGCTCTGGGGTCACACTCAGCCCAGCTCTGGGCACAGCCAGGGCTGCTCCCCAGCCATGGTGTGGCTCTGACAGTGCCTGGCAGGGTCACCAGGGGCATGGGGACCGTGGGCAGGGTGAGCCCAGGCCTGGGCAGCACAGGGAACAGCCCCTGAGCAGTGCCAGAGCAGCACCAGCAGCTGCTCTCCCCTCCTGGAGTGTGTGGCACCACGGATCCCACGCTGCCAGCAGGGAACAATGAGGAGGGCACCACATTTCTATCTGACAGGTCTTTCTATAGAGCTGAGCAAAACCTCCTCCAGCAGCCACAGGCGTGCCCAACACAGTCCTTCTGGCAAGGAAAATGCATTGCTTTGAACAAAAAATCCTCACATTTAAAGGGGGTTACAATATAAAGCACTGTAAGGTCAGGCATTTCCTGCTTTGCATTTACCACTCTAACCCAATGGCTTTCTTGAATTCAGAATTTTGTGGCTCAAAAATGTCATAATAAACCCTACTTTTATCAAAGTTTTCTCGGATGAGAAGCAAGTCTTCTACAGAATACATGTCTTCTTTTCCTGTCCAAACAGTGAGGCTGTATCTATGTCCAGGAAAAGTGGGAAGAGAAACAAAACAAAGAGAAAAAGAGTATGTCAAGATAAAAGCATGTACACCAGAAAGACACTGCACTAACAACCTCCTAAAAATACTCAGGATTACAGCATTTTAATATTAGAAATGTAATTAAATACAAACAACTGCACCCCCAGACCAATTTATCTGTGGTTGTTCTACCAAACCTCGGAAGAAGTTAAATAAACAACTTGAGGTAAATACCCAGCAAAGAAATTTACCAGACTGAGCATTTCAGGTTTGATAAAGTAATCGATAGTCACAAGCTGAGCCTCAAAACAGGAAATATGATGCAATCCCAGACGCAGGTGATTGCTGTGCTCTGTGCTTTGTCACATCACTGATGTGTAGAGATGCCACCTAACCCAATTCTCATTAATTGCACAGAACTTCTCAAAAAACACTGAAATCTCCAATTATTCAGTTAAAGCATTATTTCCACACCCTCCACACGACATATACTTAGTTTTCCCCTCTGTTTATAAAACGGTATTAATTTTAAAAATGGGTTTATCAGAATTCAGTTGTATGTGAGCAAAACTGGCTCAGGAATTTCTGTCTTCTAATCATGCCACTGAGAAATCCCCCTGAGTTTTATGCTGAGGTAAAAGAGGGAATCCTAGTATTTCAGTGGGAATAATGTCTGTATCCAATGATGTATGAGACTGGCACAATTCATAAGACATACTCCTAGTGCAGTAATATTCTAAAATTAATTTCCCAGGTTAAACAGCTTAATTATAATTTCTGACTTGAGTCTTCACCATAAAAAAACAGTATCAGCACTTTGTTTGTCCACCCTGTTTCTAAGTAATTATAAACTTTTCAGAGACTGTCTTAAGTTTTCCATCTTGGGCTTTGACCTTGGTTGGAACCAGAGTTTATTAAACTCTGGGTAGGCAGAGCAGGTAAAAAAGATGAGTAAATGGCAATTTGTAGGAAACTGGTTTTATTTTCATTCTATTACATGTGAATAAATTTCATAATGAAATGGTTAGGGGTTTGCAAGAACCATTTTTAAAGGAAAATGTAAGTTGGTGTATGAAAACCACTGAATACATTTCAAGTGCCTCAGCAAAATTAATTAGCTCGGAAGGAAACACCTGACTTCCAATCTCAAAATCATCTTTGACATTTTTCAGGAGACATTGCTAAAGAAATATAAATAGTGAATCCAATACAAAGTCTTTGGATTGGATGAATTCCCCATTGCAACATCAAACTATGCAGTCTATTTAACTATACTCATCTCAGGAAATGTTTGCAGCAGAACTGGATTACACACCTACGCACCATTTAAAAGTCCTTATAGTACGTAATGAAAAAGAAGATTCTGGAATTTCACCACTTGAAAGAAATTAATAGTGACCACTTCTGTCTGAGGAATTACAGGCTTTGAGACCTGAGGGAAATGAAGAACTGAGGGAAGAAGTATTTCCAATGCCATTGGGATGAGCATGGGCACAGGTGCTGTGCTGGCCACAAGGTGCAGGCCCTGGGGCACTGCTGGAGCACCAGTGCAGCTGTGGGATGCTGAACAGAGCAGCACTGACCTGGGGCACTGCTGGAGCAGCCAGTGCAGCTGTGGGATGGAGCTGGGCACCAGTGCAGCCCTGACTGCGAAGGTCACAGGCTGGGACAGGGGCTGGCACAGCTGGGACATCTCCTGCACCATGGGCCACTCGTAGCCTGGGGACAGACACGGCACTCAGAGCCCCACTCAGCATCCCTCGTGCCCCTTTGGAGACACAAAACCAGTTCCTGAAAACTGGAATTGCTGAAATTCCGCAGCCAGACTGCTTCGTGGCTCTGAAATGCAGCGAGGAAAAATGCAATAAATGCAGTAACAGCATGGAAAATGAACTTACTGTGAAAACCTTTATTTCCCATACCTTACCTATATACTTACTTCACACATAGCTACAGAATGTGGCATTTTTAATGTATCTTTGCCCTTTCACTAAAAAACTCTCCCACCACTCTGCCTTCAATATGGCCTAGATTAACATTGTCAGGGACCCTTTGAAAATAAAAACACAAAGGAAAAATTAGGACAAGTTAAATTAATCCACCAGGAATGAAGTTACACACAAATCAAACACACACAGACAAAAACATTCTGTGCCTAAAAACGCTAAAATCAAGCAATGTAAAATACTGCAAGTACCTTTGCTGAGATTTTTACAAAGACTGGAGCTATTTCAGTTTATATTTAACTGTTCTTTTGTTTCTACTGGCTATGAAAATCCTATAACAACAGTTAGTAACTTTTTTCTCAATTACTCATATGGAATGTAGTGACTAGAAATAGTAAAAAACCACTAAATATTAAAAAAAAAAAAAAAAAAGTTTTTTGGGCAAGCAGCAACTTCTAGGTGAAATCACTCAAACGAGCAGGTTTTCTCAGGTTTTATAGTAGAACCTTACTTAGTATTTCCATAAACTGAAATTTAGAATGGAGTGATACTGAAATCCATTTTCACAGGTTACCCGGTATTTCTAAAGCCTCCTGCACTGAAAATACCTGGGAGAAAGCACTTCAAAACATTTAATGTAAGAGTTTAAACTGTTTACATAAACACTGAAAACAATTCAGTAAGATTCAGTGTATCATATAGCAAAACAGTAAATCTGGCTAATGAATAAGCAGCAATGGAAATAGTGTATAATCCTGCCGTGGTGGCCCCAGGCAATACTGGAGGGGACCCTGCTTCTCATAATGAGAACTGCAAGAGGAAGCCTGTGAAAAAGACCCTGTAACAATGAAAACTGGGAAGTTCACTGCAAAAATTCAAGTATCCAAGAGGAATGAAATGTTAGGGGTAAGGCAGACCCACAATTTGATTTCAGTGATCAAAAAGAGCAGATGTGAAGTCTCACATTTTCAGCTGATCTGTTTTCCCTCAGGATGCGTGCCAGGATTCCGATCACCAAACCCATGCTCCCAGGGAGAGCTCTCCCTGAAACAGAGGCTAAGGGGTTTGTCCCACAGCAGTGTTCAGCAGCTGAGAAAGAGCTGAAGTACAAACCAGCTTATTTTAAGAAGAAAAAGATGGTATTTTCACCCAGCTGTGCTGCCACTGGACTGGGTGCTGTACAGGCTCTATCAAACACCTCACACAGTGCTCCACTGAGAACCACTGCAATCCCCAGCCTGCCAACTGGACACACACTGGAAGCCATCGAGCCCTGCCCTTACCTTGGCCTCGGTGGCAGCCCGTGGTCCAGCCCAGGGACAGGGTGGCCTCGGGGCAGGAGGAGGTGACAGCGCCCAGGAAGGCGCGGGCGTCCAGCGGCGCGCGGCTCCCGCGGGGCCCAGGCAGGATGTCCCCGTTCAGCCACACGGGTCTGTCCAGGGGCTGCCCCACCTGCCCCAGCAGCTCCAGCGAGGGTCCCACGGCGGCCAGGCTGTGCCAGGACACAGGGCAGGGTCAGGGTGGGAGCGTCACCGCGGTGTCACCGCACCCTCCGTGCCGGGCGAGTGCCGCTCCCATCCGCTGACCTCCCCTGCAGGAGTGAAAGCCCCAGACTCCCAGCCCCTGCTCCCAGCACTTGCTGGCCTCCCTCCCTCAGCACCCCCAACTTGTCACCTCTTCATCTCAGGCCTCAGACGGGTTCTAACAAAGGAAGCCACCTGTGTTTCACCAGACCTGAAAGCCACAAACGCTGTAAATTCAGTCCTTTCACAGAGTGAAAGTCATCTCTCCCCACCTTAACCACGCTCAAAGTGGCAAAGATTTTATCACTGTGCCAGATCCAGACTCAGATTTACCTTCACACCCGTGCAAGGTGGTGCACCTGTACTAGGAGAATAGAAAGCCTGACACAGACCAAGTTCAGGCAACTAAAAGAGAGAAAAGGCACCCACTTGAATATTTAATGTCTGGTTGTGGTTCTTCCCACAGTTCCGTAGTGTGGCAGCACACAGAAGCCTGCCTGTCCAGTGACCATCTGACAGCTAATTATTGAATTGTTAAATGTGAGCTGGCAGCACCTGAGGAACCAGTGCAGACACCCCGAGAGCATTTAACAAAATCTTCTGTCACATATTCTTACTGTCCTGTCAAGCCAAAAGAAAAAGCACAACTAGCTTTTTCCTAACTCTAGCCTGCAGAAACCTCCAAAGTACTGTGGAAGGAAAAGAGATGGGGAACTGTGGGGAAAAGAAATGAACACCAAGAAAATCTTTCTGACACAGCACACTAATTAATACACTATGTAACATTGAGGAATTTAAAATCACTGTGGTCAGAGTTTGGAATTAGGTTAGTTCTGAAGCCAACAACTAGTCCCCTGGGCTGCTTGTCTTGTTTTCTTTCTCTGTGAAGTCACTTTGTATATTTTGGTTTTTGTGCTGTTGGGAAAGCTGCACAGAGGCAGGAATTCCACTCACTCAAGATGAGTTCAAGTTCTCTAGGAGAAAAGCCAGTGATGGCTTGTGTTAACTTGAGGGCTTCAGCATTCTTACACTGTCTGGGGCCAGAAAAGTTTAAATCCTCACATAAGCAAGGAACCATCAGGGTCAGTGGAAAGTCTTCCCTTGTACTGCAAAATATAAAGTAATGCAGTGAGAAAAGCCTCAAGCAAAATGACATCAGAGAAAAAATAAAAATAAATTTTTAAAAACCCAAAACAATAAAGCCCCCCCCAAAAAAAGGAGGAAAAAAAACAAAGCAAAAGAAAAACAACAAATAAAAACCAACCCCTAAAAACCACAAACCCCAGAGAGCACTGGTTTCACGGCACAGCATTTAGAAAACCCAGATTTACTGCTGACTTCATGTGAAATGACTATGGCATTTCTGAAGTGGGACACTAAAGACCTTCTGCAGAATACATTAATTTCAGTAGCCAAAACCAGTAGGAAATGTATGTGGTCAGTTGAGCTGATAGAAGTAAAAAGTAGATTTTTAAGGCACTATTGAAACAATCTCTAAAACTTCAGCAATGGCATCCAAATAAATATTATCCAAAGGAACATCAAATTCTGTCATCACTTATTTGATCTATCTGCACTGTGTGATGTATTTTTGAATGCTTTTATATAATCAGAATTTCATAATTCAATGCACTTTTAGAAGCTTTCTCTGAATCACTGCACTTTGCTGTAATTTCCCTGTGGAAAAATTAAAGGTAAAAAATTAAAGGTATTAAGGTAAAAAAAATAAATAAAATTAAAGGTAGTTTAAAATTAATCTAAACAATAATTAAAATGGAGGAAAAACACCACCAAAAATCACAATAAATAAGCCCAAACTAATGCCTACTGCTCTTTTTTCCCTTTTCTGCCCAGAACCACACACACAGATCCTGTAACAAAAAAAGGATTTAGCCTGCCCACGTTTTTCACTTCCGTGAACTTTCACATGAAAATCAGGACTGTGTTACACAGAACCACAGGCATAAATCACATTTCACAACTATCTTGTGGGGGGGGTTTGCTTTTCAATAGAGTACTTCAGCATTGATGAAGGCCTTTGTAATTTGCTACCAAAACAGACTGAGCACATGGAAACTGAGACAAAGCCAGAGTCAGGAGCTGAAGGGTGCATGTCTGGAAATCACAGCTTATTTCTAACTCTTTCTAGGCAATCTCAGGTAGTTTTCAGGTGTGTTTTCCATCCCAGAAATGAAACAGGTAATGGTTCAAACTGTGAATGAACTTCTCAACATTTAGTTAGTAAGGACAGAGAAAGGAGCCTTCCAGAGAGGCACCAACATTTCCCAATAGAAAAGTTCTAATTCACTGAATTAAGAAAATCATTATTTGTAGTTCAAAGCACTTTTAAAGGTTTTTTTCTTGCCAAGCTTTAAGAATAATGGGCTATATTGCCATATGGATTATGCTATTGTGTTAAACTGCACAATAAGGAGGAGTTTGGTTGACAATCACCTGTTGAATTTTAACAGGTAAGAATGCAAACAATCTTTTTGTTGAGATACCTCTTAAAATCCAGCTTGATGCCTTTATTGGTGCTGACCATCTGTGCCAGCCACTCCTGCAGGGTGATGTCACTGTCAGTGTCTGGGGGGTGAGCCAGGATGGGGTCCCTGTCCCCTCCACGAAGGAGAACATCCACCTCCACCATGTGCACATCACCTGGGGATGGAGAAATTAAACCTCAGCTTTCAGTGCCCCAGGGCAACAGTTACCCAGCAAGTCTGCCTACACCAGCCTGTGCACCCTTACTCCAACGGGAACTGCTGTCTGTGACAGCTGTCTGCAGCTCTGGGGGGTTCTCAGCCACCAAACACTTTGCAAGCCTACAACCATGTCAGAATTGATCTTTGAGGATGCATTTGGCCAAACAACCATGTGGGTTTTTTTCCTTTTTTTGTTTTTTTGTTTTTGTTTTTGTTTTTGTTTTGTTCATGGGAAGAGAGAAAAAGGCATCCATCATGTGAACCCACTCTGGTTAAATTTCAGATCTTTTCCTCTGAAAACAGGGTTCCTGACAGAGGAAAGATGAGCACAGGATTTAATACTGGCAGAGACTGAGCATTCCCCTTGACTCATTGCCAAAACTGACCAAGAAAATGTTAGCTCACACATGAGACAGGCAAAGAGGGGTCTTAGGAGTGCTCAGGCTCTTGAAAAGAGCTTTATATAACGAATCTAGGCAGTGCTACCAGCTTTGCAGAGAATCCAACACATACAGTGAAGACTGAAATACAAAGAAAAGAGCTAGTGACAGTATCCAACATAAAGGATATTATATATAAATTTACACAAACACGTATTTGTCAGATAGTTATATAAATTTACATACAATTCACTGCTGCCCAGGCTGGAGGCTCCGGGGCCCCTTGTGGCTCTGCACAAGTCCCTGGCAGGAGGGGACAGCCGGGGGGATTTGGGATCTGCTGCCAGGAACAGGGACAGGAGGAGAGGGAACGGCCTCAGGCTGGGCCAGGGGAGGCTCAGGGGGGACAGCAGCAGGAATTTCCCCACGTAAAGGGAGCTCAGGTCTTGGAAGTGCCCAGGGAGGTTTGCAGTGCCCATCCCTGGAGGGTATCAACAGCCGTGGGGATTCTGGAGGAGGGAGAAGGAAGAGGAAGAGGAGGAGGAGGAAGAAGAGGAGGAAAGGGCCTGTGCCACACTCACTTCGCGCGGCCTCCGCCGCCCGGGCCCTGCTGTTGGCGGCGTGGAACCAGCGCACGGCGGCCCCGTCCCTCGCCCCGATTAGCCCGGAGCGCAGGAAGTGATCCACGGGCCACTCGCTCCAGGCGCCTGCGGGAACACGGCGGGAACCCCTCAGTGCGGCCCGGCCGCCGGGGAGCCCGGCACAGCCCCGGGAGAGCCCCGGGAGAGCCCCCACACGGCCCCGGCACAGCCTTCACACAGCCCCGGGAGANCACCCGGCCCCGCCGAGCGCCGCTCACCCCGCGCCCCGGTCGCCATGGCCCGTGCCCGGGCCGGGCCCGCCCCGCCGGGGGCCGGGTCCCTGCTCCCACCGCCTTCCATCCGGGCGGGGCACGATGGGGAATATGCCAGAATTATCCCGAATCGGGATGAGCTATCTCTGTGTCCTTTGAAGCCTAACCAGCAAGGAAAGATCTGATGCGTGGGACAGGCAGTGGCTGCAGCCCGCGGTCACGACAGTCCGAGCTCCGAACGGTGGAGCGCGGGATGTGGGCAAGAGCAGGGGACGCAGGCCTCAGCTGGGCCAGGGGAGCCCAGGGGGGACAGCAGCAGGAATTTCCCCATGGAAAGGGAGCTCAGGCCTTGGAAGTGCCCAGGGAGGTTTGCAGTGCCCATCCCTGGAGGTGCTCAAGGAAGGGCTGGACGTGGCACTCAGGGCTCTGGGCTGGGGATGGGGCACAGCTGGGACTCCATGGGCTGGGAGGGATTTTCCAACTTGATTAATTCCGTGACTGTGTGTGAAATCCAGCTGTGGGTGTGTGTCCATGCATGCCTTGCACCCTTGCCGGGATGCTCAGGATGCTCAGGGTGCACAGCTGAACCCCACTTTTGGGGACAGCCCCCGGCCCGGAGCAGCTGCAGAGCCGGGCTGGGGGCACACAGCCCCCCGGCAATTTAACCCCTCCTGGCCCAGGAGCGGCTCTGGCTGCCGGTAAAGAATGGAAATAAGCGCAGGGAAAGGGCAGTGGGGTGTGCTGGAACAGCCCCAGCAGCGGGCCTGCCCAGCACTGATGGAACACCCAGCCTCTCTCTGCACGGTGTCACTGTCGGCTTGTGGCACGCGGAGGAATGAATCCCATTTTTGGGGCAACATCAGGATTCCCAGAAAGCTGTAGAGACATGAGACACACATTCCGAATCTGTCTTTGTTTGTTTCCACTGTAGGTAACTTTATTGATCATTACTGAAAAGGAGTTAGTAGAGATTAAGTGCCAAGAGGCAGCTGTTCCTTCAGGTGTCCTTGCCCTGTCACAGACCCAAAATACCCTTCAGCCTCCAGCCTCGAGGGCCTGGGTGCAGCTTGTTTTCAACAAGGACAAGTTTTGTTCATACTGTGCGTGGGTTCAGCCCTTCTCCCTAAAGTCAGCTTCTCAGGAGAAGTCAGCACAGAAGCTGCAATACAGCTCAGTTCCATCCAGGGTAAGATCTCAATGCCTGAACCCTTCTAGGACTGGAGTGTTAAAGCACAGATAACAGCAGAGCAGATCAGGTTAAATTACAAATTGTTTTTGATACAAAAACATAAAATATCCCCTATTAGCATCAAGAAGGCATCCAAGTTTTAATACTCTCATTATAAAACTGTACCAGCATTTTTACTGAAAGCAATATAGATCTTGTATATATTTAGATTTGGTTCTGTTCTCGACAAGCAGTTGTGTGGCTGCTGCCAAACCCCCACTGCAGTTCAATGAACCTCAGTACAAATCACATGCATCACAAATACATAAATAGATCTAAATGACCCGGTATCAAAAATACATCCTATGCAAGAACCTCAGGTATAGTAAAAATCCCAGAACAGTCTGGGTTGGAAGGGACCTTAAAGAGTTCTGACCCCAGCTGCCACAGGCAGGCACACCTTCCACTAGAATCAACCTGTCCGTGAAAATTCAGACTTAATACATCTGTTCTCCCTGAAAGCAAAGGTGGCTACTAAAATGTGGAAAAAGCAGTAGACAGGAGCAGAAAAAAGACTGCAGAATTCTTATCTGACTTATTGCTACATGTAGAATCCATCAGTTCCATCAATCTGTTTTTTCCTAATCCTTGAAAGGTCAAATTGTATATGGTATTCTGAACACAGAGTAAAGAAAAAAAAGCACTTTTTATAAAAATAGCATCCATTTAAGTTAGATAAATCCTTATAAATACCAAAAGAAAACAGTTACTCTATAAAATATTGAGAGCATATGTTCCTGAAGCACCAGCATGACATCCCCAGGTTGAGGAGCTCAGTGAGGTGTTTATCCACACAGCCACAGCGTTCCCCCTGCGCTGCCAGAGCTGTCCTGGCACACGTAGGCAGCTACAGCAGGTCTGGTGTCTGAACCTGCCATGGAATGGAGACAGGTTTGGGCCAGCCCAGCTCCAGTGTTCAGCTCTTGCAGGGGAAAGCACATGCAGAGATCACAAAGAACCCCAGCAACTTCAGTAGCACACTAATGTGAAGGCAAGAGACAAGATCCTATGACTTGGAGTTAGGCTTCACCTACCAAGTGCTACAACTGTGTGAGGAGTAGCAACACTCGCACTCTTCTGCACCTGCATTAAGTGTAAACTTTCAGAACTTCATGAACTACAACTCTTCTGTAGTAGAGGAACCAGAGAGGAGCAGAGGGGCTTTAAAAAAGCAGTTTGGAAAGCTATTAAAACATAACAGGTTTAGAAACTTTAACATTTTTAGTGTTTGTAGCATTACAACTTTGGTGTTCAGATCTAGCAAATCAGCATATGCATGTAATCAGCCTCATCAAAACAGGTGTTCTATAATGAAAAATACCAATTCCATTTTCAGTGGTAGAGCTGCAGGATCTGACATTCCACTGTGAATCACAGGAATCAGAGCACTGTCCAAGTCATTCAGGTAGCTCTGTGGAAGGAGGTGCCCACCAGATCCTGCTAAGTATTCAACCTAGGAGGGAAACACATTAATTCTTTTTCAATTAACAAGACTATGCAAAAAGTGCTGTATCACAGTAGAAGAATATTTCAGCTACCACAAAGTGAGAAATTAATGACTAAGACAGCTTCTTCCCCAAGTGTCATCCTCAGCCTGGATCTTGGGTAGGGCAAAACTCTTGAAACATTCCTGGAGAGATCAAAGCTATTTACAAGGGAAGATACTTCAATGGAAAAGGAGTGTATGCAATAAAAGTTGAAAGCTTACCGTGTCTGAGTCAATGGAAACTCTGAGTCCTATCTTATTCATCCCGTTATTTTTCAAGGTTTTAAGGTGAGGGCAAAGAGCAGTGCTGCAGGCAATGGCAATCTCTTTTGCAAACAGCTGGGGAACAGCACTGGAGAGTTCATGATCCTTTACAAAATAGTAAACCTGAGACCAGAGAAAGGGAAGGGCAGTCAGCAGCCTGGTACATCCCAAAGTTAGGAAAAAGAGTAGTTCAGGATCACATAACAACGAGCAGGGCAAGCTTTGATGCTTGTTTGTTGGCAAAGCACCCAAGTATTTCATCCACACAATCAAAATATATCAGGAACCATAGGAATGCCTGCATTAAGCATTTGCAGAGCTGTCACTGCTAACAAATTTTAGATTTTTTTCAGAGGAGTAAAATGACAGGTGTGTAAACTCACCAAGAAGCTGCAGAGAATTTTCTGCCTGGCAAGATGGCTACACATTAATCAGCTAATTTTAGTAGTATCCCTTAGTACCATCACATAACCACTTAAATATTCAGAAAGCAATAAAAAAGGCTCAAGAACTATGTAATTCACTAACTTCAGTGCACTTCATAACTTTTCCCTCTCTTTTGAAGTCTCTGTATTGTGGTGCTTTTTCACTGTGAGTTCCTTCCATTGATTTTCCATCAACTGGGCTTATAATTCTATGGAAAACAATAGTATGATTAGTAATTTAAACAACACTCATAGTTTAGGTATAGTAACTTCTATGAAATAATATTTACCCATCCTTTAAGGCTATTTAAACAGCTTTACAACAAAATACAATACAGGACATGGACTATGAAAATACAGATGGTACAAAAAGAAGTATCCTAAACAGGGAACTAACAGCTTTAATAGAAACTTAATCTTGCAGGTTTAAGACACTATAAACCATCTTTGATATCACACACTTTCTGTCAAAACAATACTTTAGACTAATTTCAAGAAACTAAAGGCAGATATTTGAAGATTGGAAGCAAGAATTCTCTCAGGTATCTGGGTTTGGTAGTACATGTACCCTTTGTTTGTTTTCTCTTCATTGTCTACCCAGCAAATATCTACATATTCTTTCACGTCCCCTCCATCCGCTTCTCCACAGGTTATTTTGAAGTCCTTTTTGTCTCTTAATGCCTGACGAAGGCTTTCCATTGTTTCTTGTGTTATTTGTACCATTAGCCCATCTAGAAGAAAACCAGTTAAAATTCCACATTATCCACAGGAAAAGCAACACAGCTTTTTATAGAATCTTGGCTTAAATTCTACTAAGACCAACCATCTCCTACAGCTAATTAATAAATATACAAAAGTACTCCATCCCCCACCTACATCACTAAATGTTACATGAAAGAGGAAGAAAACCTTTTTTTTGTCAACAGAACTCAAAGTAAAAGATAATTTTTAAGTTAATTTTGGATTTATTTTATTTTCATATATGTGCCAATATATGCATTTCAGCAATAAGGCAATGAAAGTAGTTCCGTAAAGGAAAGACCTCCACAGATTAAACAGAGTTTAAATTTGCAAGTTTTAAAACTAGTAAGTGAACTATTGTGTATTTTTATGCAGCATTTGTCTGCAATAGGTTCAATACAAAATTAAAAAACCTGAAAAGAAATGTTTAGCTTTCTGAGGCATAAAGACCTTACACATGACTGCTGCTATTTTTTCCTCAAGTCTCTTAAGAGTAGAACAGAACAAAACTCTTACCTTCAACTATGCTGGATTTAGCTAAAAATCCTGAAGATGTTTTCAAGGCTCCATTAAACACCACAAAACTTGCACCTGTAACTAGAAAAAGTAGGAAGGAAGTGAGCACCACTTCATGCCACTCGAGTCAGTCATAGCTGACAATAAACTTGCACTCCTCTTAAAACACAAATTAATGTAACACCAGAACTGCATTTTCTCTGCAGCAGAACACTGAACCTTCCAATTCTGCTCCAGAAACATGATTTTTCTCCTCCAGACCTCTTACCTTTCCTGGGCTGTCCCGTGGCACTGATGGCCTGTGTGTGATAGTGGCCCTGCTTGTTCTGCACACACACCAAGTGAGAGTCTGCTTCAGTATTGAAACTGGCTCCAATGCTAATTACATGTTCATTAGAGGAACTGATCACCTTCATCACCTGTCAACACAAAATTTGTCATTGCACTGATAAATCTCACTAAGAGGGGATTTTTTGGTTCTTATTTGTTTGGGTTTTTTTTAATTACTAAGCAAAACATCATCATCAGAAAATCTGTAAGAGAGAATGTTTGACCACACATGTTAAAAGATTTTGAAGAAACTGCTGTTCTTTCAGTACTTACCAGCTTCCTTAAATCT